TGCTCTGCCACAGAAAACTAGCATTTTCTCATAAATCGCTAGCTCCAAAAACCCCATGACTTTCGGCCATAGTCCACTGGAGACCACTGCGAGGCAGATGGGGCTAACAGGCGGCATCTTGCAGTGAAGAGAACATAGCCCCAAGACCCAATAGCTCATCCAAGTGGCTTCAGCATCTCCCTCAGAGAAAAAGACACCCCTCTGGACAGAGGAACAGATTTCGTTTGCAAATTAAATACCTAATTTTTAGCTGCTACTGGAACCATCAACCTGAGTATCAGAAAGAAAAAAAAATCCCATTAAATCTTTAATTTCTTCCAAGTGAAACTTTTTCCCCTGAATTTCAAAATGAAGACAGCTGCTGCATTTTCATGCGATGAGCAGCGCCCAGGATCCAAGGGAACCAGTTTTTCCGTCATTTTTTCCCCAATAATCTGCCACTTGGTTGGATTTACAAGAGCATGTTCACCCATATACTGCATTAGGCATTAGGCAATCTGTTTAAAAGACACATACTTTTCATCATTTAAACCTGGTTCCCCAGACCTAAAATTACTTTGCAGCCAGGACTCAAGAAATACACTTACGAAGCTGCTTAACTCTATGAAGTTTTCCTTAAATAGACTTGAGAAAAAGGTTTTTAAAATTATCTATTTTTTAACTAATACATCTCTTCATTTTGTGATTCTGCTCAACAACTAGGGCATTTCATATGGAACTCTGAGTCTTTAGAAATCCTGGTTTAGAGTTCTGGGCTCCTGGAGTATGTGCTCTGAGCTCCTCTGGGTGTTTCCTAGGGTCGACGAGAAATTGAATGCTTATACCCAGAAAGGCAACGTAAGCTAAGTGAAACTTCAAAGTTTTTTATTTTGGGTTGGAATTATATCAACTCAGTTTAGAAATGCTGGTATCTCACTCTGATTATTAAGGTCCCTTAATTATTGTCCCTGATTATTACAAATTAAAATTTTCAAAATGAAAACAAAATTTTATTTGATAAATCCAATTTACTAAATAAATTCTTTCAAAAGAGTTTTAGCAACTAGTGAGAAATCAATGGAAATCTCTGGTCTACACTCACAGAATTAAGAACTGAGAGAGACAAGAGGCAAAAATATTATCTACAGTTTCAGAGACAAAGAACAGAATGAACAAACATTTTATCCAAGATATCTGGCTTAGGATCCCTATGTCTCTTTCCCTGGGTAGCAGCTGCCTCTGAGCACAGATCTTCCTGACAGAGTCACAGGCACACTCATTAATAATCACGGAACACACAACATAACAATCATCAGGGCAGAAATACCTGGAAGAAAACAAGCCACAGCCAATTATGGTGTCTTGGATTTGAGCGACTACCTGGTCACATAAGAAACTGTTCATCCGACAAAGACGACAACCTCCCCCTAATGTTTTCTCCATACTCACTTGTAAAGGCAGAGAGACTAAGGGACCTAGTAGGCAAGTATCAGCAATGAGACTTGGTATAATGAATTAAAAAGTTTATTAGCCATAGAAAAAAATTGATTCCTTAAATCAATTCTTGTTAAGTTCCCTGTAAAACAATAAGCTTACAGAATATTTCTTTCTCACAAACAGAAAGTCACTATGCTTTTGGTCCAAGATATGTTTTTTTCCTTCTTCTTCAGATGACAGACAGATGGGTGTAGCCGAATCTATGAACGAGTGTACTTGCCCCAAATGTGCAACATAAATACAGAAGCGATGAACAGAAGACTCATAACCAATACTGGAACAGGGCCACTGGAAGTAAGAAGAGAAGGCATGCTTACTTTTAGTAATAATACATATTATAGCTGTAATACTGAAGATTGCCGAGGGGATAAAGCAGGGGGGAGTACCTAAGATTCACCCAAGAATACCATTTACAACATTTAATTATATTCCCCAAATTATTATTATGGATATATTGAGGGTGTGGGGACGGCACTGTGATTGCTTAGGAGGAATCCTTATCTTTTAGTAAAACGTATTACAATATATACAAATAAAATGATTTGATGTCTTGGAGACACTAGTCGAATTTCATATATTTGATATTTTCCATAATAAAAAATAAGAAAAATTTCCCAAACTCTTTAAGTGCAAATAACCCAATTACCAAACTATTATTTCAAATTAATATTTATTAAAAGACAACCTTCATTGTCTAACTAGAATGTACTAGGCATACAAAGATACATATCACATTGTTAAGTTACAAAGTGTTTCCACTTATCAACAAACTCCTGACCCAGGACAAACAAATATTAATCTCATTTTATAACAAGGAAAACTGAGGCTCAGAGATTATTACTTGCCTAAGAACACACAGACAGAACAGAAAGGGGAGATCTGAACTCCAGTTTTCTGATTCGATACATATTGCTTGTCCCTCTCTCTCTTTTTTTTTTTATGTTAATCACCATAGACTACATCATTAGTTTTTGATGTAGTGTTCCATGATTCATTGTTTGCATATAACACCCATAGCTCCATGCAGAACGTGCCCTCTTTAATACCCATCACCAGCCTAACCCTTCCCCCCAGCCCCCTCCCCTCTAGAATCCTCAGTTTGTTTCTCAGAGTCCATCATCTCATGGTTCCTCTCCCCCTCCGATTTCCCCCCTTCATTCCTCCCCTCCTGCTATCTTTTTTTTTTTTTTTAACATATAATGTATTATTTGTTTCAGAGGTACAGGTCTGTGACTCAACAGTCTTGCACAATTCACAGCACTCACCATAGCACATACCCTCCCCAATGTCTTTAAGATTTTTTTTATGTATTTGAGAGAGAGAGAGAGAGTGAACAAGCGGGGAGGAGGGGCAGAAGGAGACGGAGAAGCAGATTTCCCACTGAGCAGGGTACTTGTCTCTCTCTTTTAAAGTTCCCATCTAGTTCCATGTAGGAGTTTATTAAAGGAAGGAAATAAGTTTTACTTATCAGCCCTTCCCTAAATCAAATGCTTCTCAGGTTGAGAATTAGTACATGGGCTTCTTAAAGGGAGAACCCCTTGATCTCACACAACCTGTGAATGCTGACTCTGATGAAATGTTATGGGCCCCTCCTTTGTGACTCTTCCTGCCAACACCGGTTTTGGAGAATTCAAGATGTCACTTCACTTCCCAGATACAAATGGGAAGTGGACAACGGAAAAGACCCCAGAAATCTTTACAGCGAGGGCAGCGGAGTAAGAGTCCACTAGTGGCCAACAGACAACACAGAGATCAAAGTCCTTGCTACACTCGTCTGTTCTTTCAAGATCTGTACAATTACGGGAGTAAACAAATTTAAAAATACATGAAGGGAATCTTCCCCGAGTTACACTTAAGCACACCCCCTACTCTGGTGCGACATCAAAGCAACATGAGACACAGAGCATGAATCTGAGAGCGCAGCTCCCAGAGAGCTGGAATTTGGGAATCAACTCTGTCACCCAGGAGCTGTGACTGAGGCCCTGTCACTTACCTTCTCTGAGCCTCATTTTCCTCATCTGTAAAATGGGGATAATCCCAGTGCCTCTCCCATAGGGTTGCTGAGGTACTAAATAAGTTAATACGAACACAATATAGTAAGCTTCCACGAAATGCTATTATCAGCCTGAAAAAAAAAAATTCTCAACTCCTAAGAAGAACCAGCAACAACCTCCAAGATGTGGATCTGTGGATACAAATTCCCAACTGTGTCTTTTCATCAAAAACATCTGTCTCTTATTGATGATAAACTATGGTTTATGACACTTCAAGGAACAGGTTCTATCCTGGGAGGACTCAAGCAGTAAGGAGCAGCAAGCAAGCCTGGCTGTTCGACAGCTAGCGCAGGCCAGACACCCCCAGGAGAACAGGTCTGAGCCCCTTCTTGAGAAGGCTATAAAGTAAGGCCCCTGGAGACCCTGAAGAGCAAGGGGTGTCAAAATTTCTCTCTGAAATACTCACAAAGATTACCTTGAAACAAAGACCAAAACGTTTTTCATGCCGCCAACTCACATACCCCAACGCCAGGAATGGTTTCCTAAGCTCATCCTTGCCTTAACAAGTCTTCAAGAGAATAGTAAAAAATCACTCGATAAAACCAAATCTCAAGAATTCTAGGGAAGCCTTCGTCAACTACATTTGCGATCCAAGTCAAGCTACGAGTTAATTTAATTAATCCAAATAAATCTAACTTTGTCTCTTTCTACCAGACAAGTAGTATGGAAAGAGCATGGGATTGAACCAGTCAGAAGACACAGCTCCAGCCCCTGCTGGCCGCCTTCCACATGTAACTGCCTCTGTGAACAGAGGTGCTCCGCGAACGGGAGTGCGTCATTATTCCAATTCCTTAGGCACCGGGTTTAAGCAGGGTAAGTAGGGGTGTTCTGGAGCCTCACACGAAGAGACCTGTGGGACCAGCTCTGCCACACGGTACCAGAAACCATGGAAAGTAAGGCGAGCAAGGCCTGGAGACCCTGGATGCCCATTTCCCATCACTTAATGAGCACTCCCTGACCGAAGAACTTAGACAGTGGTTATGTTCACCCTCCAGAGTCACCCACCACCCACCAAAGGCAAAGGGGGCCAAAGAACTTTTGGTAACACAGCCTAATACAGACACTCCCATTAGGCTGTCATAATATCAGCTAGTGCCTCCAAGAGAGCTTTGAAAAATCACCCAACTCCAGTACAAGTGGTTACTCCTCTTTCTCAGTGTGGGACAAGAACACCAAATGAAGAGCAAGTTCATCTAATTAAGCAGTTTTCCCTCCAGTTCTCTCTGTTCCCATCATTTATTCTGACACAGCTACATGAAGATTTTTTCCTTGCTCTCCCTCAATCCATGGAGATGTTATTCTAGGCTCGAAACTAAAGGCTGATACACAGACAAACCAAACCAAGCCCACCTGGCACGAATGAAGCTGTCGTGTACCATACATGTCATCAGGGCAAACACCACTGGTGGAGGGACTGCACTGCCCCACGGTAGTGTGACACTCAACAACGTCTGTTTCCCCAACACTTACACCTTGAGCCCAGGGGAGTCTTCCGTGTAGAATCGCCACATGCCCCCCGTGCCTGCTGAGGTCGTGCGCCCCGCGCTCCTTGTTCCACAGCTCGCGTTTTTTCTGGAAGAAATATTACAAAAAGCTTTTTCTCGGAAGCCCCTTACCATAGCATTATAACATATGCTACCACTACACTGTTAAAAAAACAAAAATAAAAACAAAACAAACCGCACCCCCCCCCCGGAAAAATACTTTCTTTGCCAGATCCCCCAAATTCTTGCTTTTACTCCACTGATCATGATAACCACTAAGGACTGAGTACCTGCCATATGCTAATGAATACAACCACCCCAGAAAGTAGTCACCATTTCCAATGTATAAATGAAGAAAATGGGCTCATAAAAGGTTAAGTAAAGTGCCTAGGACCACAGAGCCAGCAGGCAGCCAAGCTCGGCAGTGAACCCAGTTGACTCTGGAGCCCATCCACTTGCCCACACATATGGGCGTCTCATTTGAACAAGGAATTTCAGTTTCCCTTCACATGTATTTTTGTGAAGTCAAGTAACAAACCCTTGCTTAAAAAGCCCTGAATCCATACAATTGATTTTAAAATGACTACTTCAAAATGTTTTTCAGTTTCTGTATATACTACAAAAGAGACAAAAACAATTAAGCTTCGTTGTAATCCAGGTCCTAAAATGGAGTGTACGTTTTATAAAAAATTATTTTGTGATCTGTTTTCACGATTTTGATATACTGGCCATAGATCTTGGGCAGAGGTAGGATGCCATGTCCCTCACAGGGGCTCCAGGTCTGTGCGATGAGCAGCCCAGGCCCCTGGAAGTAGCCCGATAGTACTTGTGCCATCCACCAGGGCACGCAGGGAGAAACTAGAAGTGAAAACCCTGTTGCCATCATCTCTTCCAACTGCCCTTCCAACTCTGGTCCTAATCCTCACCTCCCCCTGCCGTGGCCTTTACCCCAAACTCTAGTGCAGACGCATTGATTACTGGCTACATAGTGGCCCAGGAACTCCCAAGTCCATACGTACGGCTGTTTCTATGAGATAACTGATAGCAAATAGTAAACCGTAATTGTACAGGGATTTACACAGCAATTCATACACTTAGAAGAGCCTTCACACACAAGGATATACATATTTAAGCTGTGAGGTAGGTACCTGAAATTTTCATCCTTGTTCATAAAAAGGAACTTGAGCTAGATGGTAAACCCAGTGTGGACATGGTAAGTCATCAGCTGAGCCAGGACTAGGACCCATGCACTTTCCACTATTCCCACAGCCTCCCAACTGCAGTGCTTGGTCTCAAAGTCCCCTAGAATTACGGGAGCCCCAAAGAAATCAGTCTAGGCTCTTTAAGATTTCTTATACCTACTAGCACATGGGGCAATGCAGAGGATTTGATAATCAGGGCACCTGGAAATACCAAATGTACTCAAAATATCTCCCATTCCTCCACTGGAAAGCCAGGTAGAAGTTAACAGAGCCCATTTAATCTCTTAAATTTCTATTAGGGGTCTATTTTACCATTTCTTTCTGGCCACAGTGTAACTGCCTCCCTCTTCCTATACCCTATAGTTCCTTCAAAAATCCCGAGACTACAGAGTGGCTTGATTCCTTCATTTATTCTGTCAGGTCTTATATCAGGATACAGATGTTGGGCCATTTCTGTCAAAATCTAATGAAGGAGATAAATATGGAAACATGAATGCTATTATAACCCCATGAACAAAATGCTGCGGGAGCCAAAGAGAAGACTCACAGCTACTGCTGCTTTCTAAGTCAGGGAAGGCCTCAAGAACCCCTGAGCTTAGTCTTGCAGAATAAACAGAAGCGGGGGGAGGGGTCGTCTAGTGAGTTCAACAGTAATAAGTTCACTGCTGCTGGATCACCAGAGAGGAGGAGAGGCAGCTGGGCTGAAATAACACCAAGACCACTGGCATCCACCCTTCTTCTTCTTCTTTTTTTAAAGTTCAGCAACAAGAAATTGAGATAGAAACTAAGAAGATGTGTGACAGAATCAGAGGGGAGGGCAGGCTGGAGTGGGAACGACCTGGAGAGAAGCCTTAGGTAGGAAATGCAAATGTCTAGGTGGGAGAAGTTGGGGTAAACTGGAACGGTGGACATGAAAACGGAAACAACTGATGAGAAGCTTTTTGTGTGCCATTCGGTCTTGCAAATGACTGAACAGAGACAGAGCATAAGAAAAATCCACGACCACCCTTAAATTTTCGCCTTGGGGAAATGAATATATAGTCGTAGTGCCGGATGGAAGTAAGGGAGATAAAACTGGGGCAGAAGCTAGGATGAAAGGAGACTGAGTTTTGCATCGGACAAGTCATGTCGGACTCAGTGTGAGGGGACCTGCAGATCAAAATGTGACTGCAAAGCTTAGGTCCAGACACACCTGTTTAATGACATCAGTTTTCTCAAAGTTGTCTCTGATCCCACTCCAGTTTGTTAACTTTCCTTTTTCAAGAGAGGTGCCCCAAACTGCGCAATTCGAAGAAAACGTTGCCTCCCTCTCGAGACACACAAGACCTACGGCCACGTCGCCTGAGGTTCAGTTTGCCCTTGTGACTCTTTTTATCCCGGGGTCTCCTTCCCCGACCAGCGAATTCTTGGGCACCATCTCTCCAAGCGCACAGCCAGAGGGTCGCGGGGTCCTTACCTCTGCCGGACCGTGGATCCAGCCGCCCGCGCGGCCACTGCTTTGCTGGGGGAGCGCCCCGACGAGCCCACATTAGTGCCACTGGGGGTCGGACCAGGCTAGAGAGAGAGACAAGCGGACAGGCGAGTGAGCGCCCCCGGCACGCCCCCAGGCCCCAGGCCCTGACGGCCCAGACCAGCACCTGCAGTGGAGCCTGGGGAAAGCAAGACAGCCACAAGAGGAGGGCCAGGCGGAAGGCCAGTGTCAGGGCCAAGAGGAGAGGCGGAACCGATAAGGGAAGGCTGGGGCCGCCGTACCATGCTGAAGACTGGAAGGCGCTGCACACTGAAACTGACGGCCACGAAGCAGACGGTGGAGTCCTCAAAGGACCGGCGGCTGGAGAGGCTGGCTCAGGCCCCGCCCCCAGGCCCCTGCAGGGTCCTCGCCGGCTCCAGGGACGCCTGAGTTGTCCCACCATATGCCTGTACAAATGTTGTTACAGGCGATTTGGCCAGCCGCCGTGTGGGAAGTACAGACCTTCCGCCTCCTTTCTTTGAATCGCAGCGTCTTTCATAGAGTCCGATCCCTACCAAAGGGAGGCTATAGCTGCGGTCAGACGGGAAATTTCTTCTGGCAGACACTGGGCGCCTGAAGATTTGCGCTGATGTGGCCTAACTGACGCAAGCGCCGCGAGGCGTGGTCGGCCCCGCAGAGGCCCGCTGGGAGCCGGGACGGAGCATGCGCGGAAGCCCGGTAGGGCGCGGGCCGCTGACCATGGCGAAGAAGCGGGGCCAAGACGAAGACCCTGGTCCCAGCCCGTCGGTGCTGTTCCTGCACCCGGACCTGGGCGTGGGCGGCGCCGAGCGGCTAGTGCTGGACGCGGCATTGGCGCTGCAGGCGCGCGGATGTAGCGTCAAGATCTGGACGGCGCACTACGATCCCGGCCACAGCTTCGCGGACAGCCGCGAGCTGCAGGTGCGCTGCGCCGGGGACTGGCTCCCGCGCAGCCTGGGCTGGGGCGGCCGCGGCGCCGCGGTCTGCGCCTACGTGCGCATGATCTTCCTGGCGCTCTACGTGCTGTTCCTCGGGGACGTGGAGTTCGACGTGGTCGTGTGCGACCAGGTGAGGCGGCCGCGAGTGCGGCCACGCCCGACCCTCGCCTCGCCTCCTTTTCCCGTTAGGGAGGGCGCACTGCATGGCCTCTGGTGAGCTCTCCCGGCCTGCGGTTCGGAGAGATCGGAACTGATCTGGAGAGAAGAGAACTGGGAGTGAGACTGGTTCTCGAACTTTAGTGTGGACCCATTAAAGTTGCACGGTGTTAAGGACCCCACCCTCAGAAGCTTTCATCCTGGAGTCCTGAGGTGGGGCCCAGAAATCTGCATTTTCGCTGGATCTTCGGGCAATTCTGAAGTAGATGGGTCTTGGGGCTGCTCTGAGAAACGCAAGCATTAGAAGTCAACCCTAAGTCACCTTTTCCTTCTGAGTAACTTGTAGGTCTTCCCCTCTTTGCATTAATTATGTTGACTCTACTTCCAGGCCACATGCATCCCACTGTCTTAGTTTTTGCAGACAGGCCACTTCGTTCGTCCGCGGTGTCGTGTTAAAAACACCGAGTGAAACATGTCATACCCTGTTAAAGCTTAACATGGCTTCCTGTTAGTCTTGGGAGAAGTTAGAGTTCTTTACCTCAGTAAATAATGTCCGCCTGCATCTGGGCTCTAGCTGTTTTGGACTCTGCGCTTTTTCTTCCCCAAAAGTAATTTATCTTAAAAAGTAACATTTACTCAACAAAAATTCAAATAGTATAAAAGAGTGTAATGTAGGGACGCCTGGGTGGCTCAGTTGGTTAAGTGACTGCCTTCGGCTCAGGTCATGATCCTGGAGTCCCGGGATCGAGTCCCGCATCGGGCTCCCTGCTCGGCAGGGAGTCTGCTTCTCCCTCTGACCCTCCCCCCTCTCATGCTCTCTATCTCATTCTCTCTCAAATAAATAAATAAAATCTTAAAAAAAAAAAAAAGTGTAATGTAAAGTCCCATCCCAGTTCCACTCCCTAAAGATAGCCACTGTTAGCAGGTTCTCCTGTATCTTTCCAGAAGTTGCCTGTAGCTGCACTAGCATATGCGTCTGTTCTCAGATGCATCTTATTTGTAATGATGAGGACTATGACACACTTACTATTTGATAACTTGCTCTTTTTTCCACCAGAATTCCTGTTTGGGACATCCTTATATATCAGTATTAGAGATTCACTTCATGGGTCTCGATGATTGCTGGAAAATCTGCTTTTGTTTAAAAGTACCATAATTTGTACATTCTCCTGTTAAAGGACACTCATTGTAACCAGTTTTTTGCAAATAGTATTGTAATGGACATCCTCGTACCTTTTCTCTACTTCTGTCAGCATGTCCTTTGAGTAAATTCCTAGAAATCATGCCCGAGAGTTTAAATGTCAATAGCTATTGCCAAATTTGCCTTTCAAAGAGGTTGTGTCATTTTGCTCTCCCACAGGGTATGATAGATCCTGTTAATTCCATGCTCTTGTGCACAATGGATGCTATAAACCGTCTTAATCTTTGCCAAACCGATTGGTGGAAAGGGTTTCACATTTGTATTTGTGTGCTTCTTTATTATTCCTGAGTTAGTTTGATCCTCTTTGCTTGTACACAAGCTGTTTCTTTTTAAGAAATGTGGACATTTCCAAACATCCTGCATTTGTAGCTAGTCGTTAAGTATGAGACTATGAGGCGGCTGAGACTAGTGAATAGAAAAAAACTTGAGCTTGGAAATAGGAGACCTGAGTTTCGTTTCAGATCTGCTACTTTCTAACTAAGAAGTTTCTGATAAATCTGGCAGGATTCTTCAAGTGGTGAGCTAGAGATTAAGTAATTTGTAAAGATTACCCAACAGGAACGTCTCTAGTAATGCCGGCATGTAGTTCATGCTTAGTAACAATTATGGTTAACATTTATTGAGCGCATGCTATGCGCTAAATTCTGAAGCATTTTACACATACTAGTACATTTAATAATCACAAAACAATCCAGGAGTTTTTTGAACTACAGTTGTCACCATGTTACAGAAGAGAAAACTGAGGCACAGAGGGAAGTGAGATTACTTGCTCATGGTCACACAGCCCGCAGTCTTCATTCCAGAGCCTGCACTGCAGTTCCTTAGCAGGAGAAACAGGCTAGAGCTGCCCTGCCCAGTAGGGTAGCCTCTAGGCACCTGTGACTATTAAGCCCTTGAAATGTGGCTAGTCTGAACAGAGATGCGGTGTAAGTGTAAATTACACATCTGATTTTAAAGATTTAATGTAGAAAAATAGAATGTAAAGTGTCTCATTAACTTTTTTGATACTGATTACATTTTGAAATGATAATATTTTAGATAAATATTTTTTAAATTTCACCCTTAAAAAATGTTGTCATGTGTTTACCAGATTTTTATTTCCATTGGACCATGCTGTTCTAGAGGAAACCATTGGACTTGTCGCTTTAAATATTTAGCACACAGCCCACAGATGTGTACAAGCCTTCCATACACCAGGCATTGTATTGGGTGAGAGTCCAGGGGAACACAAAGCAGAATCAGGCATTGCCCGTGACGAGCCCACAGACCAGCAGGCAGGGTGGGTGGGCATGCATTTGACTTGGTTGGAGCTGAGTTGACCAGTCTGTATCTGCTGTTGATTTTTGCTTCGGCTAGGTGTCTGCCTGCATCCCAGTGCTCAAGCTGGCCAGACGGCCCAAGAAGATCCTGTTTTATTGTCACTTCCCAGATCTGCTGCTCACCAGGAGAGATTCTTTTCTGAAACGCTTATACAGGGCCCCGATGGACTGGATAGAGGAATACACTACAGGCATGGCGGACTGCATCTTAGTCAACAGCCGGTTTACAGCTGCCGTTTTTAAGGAAACATTCAAGTCCCTGTCTCACATAGACCCCGATGTCCTCTACCCATCTCTGAATGTCACCAGCTTTGACTCTGCTGTTCCTGAAAACCTCGATGACCTCGTCCCTAAGGGGAAGAAATTCCTCTTCCTCTCCATCAACAGATACGAAAGGAAGAAAAACCTGACTTTGGCACTGGACGCCCTAGGAAAACTGCGTGGAAGGTTGACATCCCAGGACTGGGACAAGGTTCATCTAATCATGGCAGGTGGTTATGATGAAAGAGTCCTGGAGAATGTGGAACACTATCAGGAATTGAAGGAAATGGTCCAGCAGTCCGACCTTGGACAGTGTGTGACCTTCCTGCGCTCTTTCTCAGACACACAGAAAATCGCACTCCTCCAAGGCTGTACCTGTGTGCTTTACACACCAAGCAATGAACACTTTGGCATCGTCCCTTTGGAGGCCATGTACATGCAGTGCCCGGTCATTGCCGTGAATTCGGGTGGGCCCTTGGAGTCCGTCATCCACAGCGTCACAGGGTTTCTGTGTGAGCCTGACCCAGTGCACTTCTCAGAAGCGATGGAAAAGTTCATCCACGAACCTTCCTTAAAAGCCACAATGGGACTGGCTGGGAGAGCCAGGGTGAAGGAAAAGTTTTCCTCTGCAGCTTTTACAGAACAGCTCTACCAGTGTATCACCAAACTGCTGGTATAATCCTACTTTTTAAGGGCCTGTATGCTGTATTCATTAGTATCATTTTTTGTAGATTGTAGCCTCACTTTTGAAACCGAGAAAGAAACCTAGAGTCCATTGCAGAAGCGATTAAAAGAAAAATAAACTTGAATCTTGAACCTGAGCCACTTTCCTATGCACAGCACCTTTCCATCTACTTTTTCAGAAAAATGAAATATCTTTTATGCTATAATTATTCCACGTGTTCATCAAAAAACTTCAGTTATATTTTCTCTAGGTTATAGTTGCTTTGCCTTACTTGGCACACTATAGTTGGAGCGTATCATCATTAAAGTCAATTAATTTGGGTTCATAGCATAATGAGAACAGGGTCACCATAGTACCCAAAATCAATGCACCTAAGCATTTACTATCCTCTGTTTGGAAATTTTTGTTAGTCATACCTTTGCCTGGATCCATAGCAAAAATGTTCTGTACTTTTTTACAAAGATGATTTATTATATTTTTGCACACTGAGATGTGACAATAAAATATGGTTATCATAGGAAAAGAAAGGATACTAGATTCAGGCCTCTGTGATCTGTTTAGTATTGTTAGGACTGTGGATAGCCAAGCCTGAAGTCTGAAACTAGAGTAAACCAGATGGTGAAGTAAGGGTACATCGTCACTCATGGGTGTGCCTCTTACGTATGTTTGCTTTCTTCGTGTCATCTGAGTCATCGGCTTTGTTAATGTTGGTGTTTGGCTAAGTAAGCTCCTACTAGTGTAAGACACAATTGCTGTGTGTCCTTCAAGCCCTGCCTCAGATGCCATGGCTGTGGAGCTTTCCTCGACCCTCCTCTCTCCTCCTTCCTCCCAGCCTGCATGTGGTCTTCCTCTTCGTGGACCCTAGCCCTTTTGTGCCACCGACCAGTCTTACAGTTCCTTACTTACCTGTTGGCCTAAGTACAAATAAACGTAAAGCACTTTTCAACATATCTCTACAGCTAAATTCTTTTTTTTTTTACCATTTTTTTAAATTCTAGCCCTACATGGGACTTGAACTCACGACCCCAAGATCAAGAGTCCCATGCTCTACCAACTGATGGAGTCAGGTGCCCCAAAAGCTAAATTCATTTTTTAAAAAAAGAGCAATGATCACTAGCCAAAGGCTCCACATTCATCAATTCTAAGAGTATAGAACTGAGAGCTTAACAGCCTGTGTGACCTTGGACAAATTACTTCATTTCTGTGCCTCAGCTTCATCTGATATAATATTCTACATTCTTCATAAAGTAGTTATGGCAGATTACATAATATATGTAAAGTACTTAAAACAGTACTTGGCTCATGGTATGGGCTATATAAATGTTAGCTATTTTGTAATTTGGGGATATTGAAAACCTGTAGAAATTCCATGTGGGTTCACGCTGCACTACTGTTTTGTTCTTTGGGTTTTTTTTTAACAGAACGAAACTTCAGGTTGTAATATATCATATTAGTGTGTATCACAGAAGTATTTTATGAAACGAAATGACTACCGAAAAGGAGTTCTCTAAAACGAGAGTCAAATATATTGTCTTGTATGGAATGAAAAGTTGAGTTTGTTTTTCTTTGTCATCGTGAAAGCCTACAGTCCAATAAAGTAGGTCATCCCCATGTCGTGGGTTTTGTATTTTGTGGTTTGGTGCATGTGTTTCCCCAGGGAACTGTAGCCTTTGCAGAAAGGCCTGGTGGCTCTGAGCCCTGGGTTTAGGACAGACTCGGATCCGTAACTGGTGCCTACCCATTCAGAGCACTAAAACTTTTGCCTATTTGACCATTTTTATGCAGATCCTTCCAAAATGGACACCAGGGGCTCATGGGCCTTACGTTTAACTTCCCTTCATTGTCTTAAGTCCCAGCAGGTGACACTAAGACCACAGATCTGGGGTGGGGGGTGGGAGAGGGCAGAATGCAGGACTCTACATGCCATGAGCTTCCAGCCTCTGATGGATTAACTCCTGGTTCCTAGACCTGGGATGGAGCTTTGCCCATAGGAGGTGTTCGCAGCTTCCAAAACTAAGCTGAAATTAGGGAGAACAGAAGCATGGCACACTGAAGTAAATTGTCTGGGACCCTATCAGTAGTAATTCTAGCAATTACTGTGTGCTGGGCATGATCCGACGTACACAGCAGACAACTCATTTATCCTGAGTTCTAGGAGGTGTATGCATTCTCACCTTTATAGAGGGGTGTGGTTAAGCAGCTTGCCTGTGTCACTCAGCCTGGAGGGTGGGCCGTCTCGAGGCTCTCCAGGTCCAAGTCCAGCCACTCCAGCACTCAGTTTGCCTTCGCCCTAACCGAACTCCTTCTGTGGCATTTCTTCCGTGAAACCCTCCACAGCACCGCAGGTGGGCCTGTGGAGGTCCTCAGGGTGAGAAAGGTGTTGCTGGTCATTTCCCCCCTTGGGCTTCAGAGCAATCTTGTAAGACGGGTGTGTTATCCCCCCTTTCTTCTCCACAGGGAAGCTCAGGGGGATGAAGGCCTTGCTCAAGGGCACACAGCTGAAAAGCGAGCCGGCCAGATCCAACAGCAGCTACCCGACCCATCCGGGACGGCTCACACCAGGATCTCTGAGCCCGCTGCCCGTCGGTAACGTAAATACGGCAGCCTCCAGTCTGCGGAGCTCTTTCCAGGCTGTGTCCTTTGCTCTTCCCAGGATCGTTGCAGGTAGTTCTCGTAGCTGAGGTCACAGGGGGCAGCTGAGGCTTACAGCTGGGAAGCCCCAGAGCTGTAACTCAACCACGGCCAGCCGAGGCTGGGTCACGGTTCCGTCCGTCGTACAGCAGATGCCTCTGCGGGGCACGCTTCGCCACCTCTAACCTGCCGGTCCCCAGCTGCACCTGCGCCGCCTTGCCCGACCCTCTAACTTCAGGGAGATGAGGCGCCCGAGCGAACACCTGGACGCGCTGCTCTCCGCTCACCGCCTGCCATCCGTTGGCCTCCCGCAGTATCGCCCACGATCCCTGACCTCCTTTCTTTGCATTCCCGACTCCCAGCAGCCAGTCCGCTCCGAGGTCACCCAGCCTACTTTGCTTACACAAAACAGAGGGCCCCCCCCAAAGCCAGCTGGACCCGCGTGAGGTCATGCAGGGGCATTGCAGCTCTCCTCAACTTCCTAGGGAAGCCCCTCACATCCCCTGCACTTTTATCAAAACCCCTCATCTCCTGCCCCTTCCTTTGAACCCCTTATTTCTTCATCCCTCACCACAGTGCCGCCAGCCCGTGAGGGTGCCGCCATCCGGTCGCCAGGGCCATGCCTGCGAGCCGGGGCTGGGGAGCTTTCCGAATGACAGACTCGGCTTCCAGCCTGGCCTCCCATCACACAGCAACCCTCGGGAGGGAGGCGTGGGACGGCTTTTACCCTCCTGACTCCTGAGCCTGGGCTGCTGGTGCCAGCACTCCGTCCCCATCCTCATCCTCGTCCCCGTCCCCGTCCCCGTCCTCGTCCTCGTCCTCATCCTCATCAGGAGGATCAGAGGCTTGAGTGGGGCTCACGATGAGGCCGAACTGTCCTTGTGACCCAGAGATGTGAACACAAGCAAAGGCTGAAATGTCTTGTAGGAAGCACTATCACTAGGCCAGCCCCTGATGTCATTTCAGACAAATATAGAAGAGTCTGGCGGCGGCGGGGGGGGGTTGGGGTTTCCGGGGTGAGGGGAAGGGGCACGGGTGTAGCATAGATGTGACTTGCCTTTGTGACCTGCCACTCACCCAAGAAGTTGGCAGGCACAATTAGAACAGACTGCTAAGGGGCACCTGGGGGGCTCCGCCTGTTAATCATCTGCCTTCGGCTCAGGTCATGATCCCGGGGTCCTGGGATGGAGCCCCACATCAGGCTCCTTGCTCAGTGAGAAGTCTGCTTCTCCCTCTCCCTCTGCCTCTCCCCCTGCTCTCTCTCTTTCTCAAAATGAATGAATAAAATCCTCAAAAAAAAATAGTCAAAAGCTGAAAACAATCCAAGTGTCCATCAACAGGTGAGTAATAGATAAACAAAATTGTGGTTTTATACCACGGAATACTTTTCAGTAATAAAAAGGAATGAAGGGGCGCCTGGGTGGCTCAGTTGGTTAAGCGACTGCCTTCGGCTCAGGTCATGATCCTGGAGTCCCTGGATCGAGTCCCGCATCGGGCTCCCTGCTCGGCAGGGAGCCTGCTTCTCCCTCTGCCCCTCCCCCCCTCATGTGCTCTCTCTCTCTCATTCTCTCTGTCTCAAAAAAAAAAAAAAAAAATCTTAAAAAGGAATGAACTACTGATAAACACAATGACATGGATGAATCTCAAAGCCTGTTGAGTGAAAGAAGTCAGACACAAAAGAATTCATACTGTATAATTCCATTAATGTGAACCATCAGAGAAAAAAATCCTATCTACAGTGACAGAAAGCAGGTCATGGTTTGCTTACAGCCCAGGGCAAGGCAGAGACCGGCTAGGTAAAGGCCCAAAGGAACTTTGGGATGATGGATATGTTCTATATATTTATTATGGTTATAAGGATGTATGAATTTGTCAAAACTAATAAAATACACACTTAAATCGAATGTATGTTATTGTATGTAAATCATACCCCCTAAAGTTTTTTTAAAGCACGTGTGCTATAGTTTCATTTTTATAGGAAATAAAAGATGTTATAAGTGAAGAAATGTGAGAATATATGTGCATATGTAATGTAAAAGTTTCTAATCGAAAATACACCAAGGTGGTAACTTTGGTTGTCCCCAGGTGAGTGTGACTATCAAAATGCATTAAATTTTTCTTCTGTTTGCTTTTATTTTCTGACATTCCATAAGTTGACTTTCTCATAAGAAAATAAAAGAAAATTGAACATAAAAGTATAAAATAATCTTAATGGTCAGTTATGTTTTCACAACATATTTTTAGACATTTGTGTTTCCAACTGTGGCCCTCTTGGGGATGGATAGTTTGTTCTAACTCATCCCTTATTATTATGTATTAAGATTGCTCCAACTTTTTGCTACTATGAGCGGCCTAGAGGAAAACTGACTTGAATTTCTAAAAGCAAATATTTAAACTTTTAAAGAGGAAATTTAGAAAACAAAAGCATCCAAAAAATAGACATATGAGGAGGTTGCCAAACTGCCTAGCAATACACCAAAAGAAAAAAAACTAGTAATTCTCAAAAAAAATCACTACCTGGTGATGTTTATTTTCAACCCCGATCACCAGGTTGACCAGCTTGCTTTCAGCCAAATTTTATGCCTCTGTTGACTTGTGGAACCTAGAAACCTAACTTAACACTTCAATTCAATAGAGCAATTCAATACCCTGTGTCAGGATGTATGTTCCACTATTTAACGTTCTTAACAATTAGCTAGGACTCTTTCCCTTGCAAGTGACTCTTTCCCAATGCTAGCTTAGGCAGAAAAGGGAATTTTTAGGAAGCTACAGGGATATATCATGTCATTCCAAGAAAAGTTGCACACCTAAAGGAGGAGAAGTGCAGGGAGGTAGCTAGGCTTGAGGTTCAACAGAACCAGAAATTCAAATGTCACCACAACACCATTTCTTTAAAGGAGACTTCATTGTCATTCATTGTAGACTAGTTTCTTCCTCATGGCTGGAAACATGGTCACCAGTAGGAGCCGAAACCTCCATCTTACTGTCTGTGTCACCGAAGAGGATCAGGTCCTGTTTTTCAGACTTTGGAGAGACACCAGTGAAGGACTGAGATAGACCCTTCTCTTAAATTAATGCAGCAAGTCAGGGGCAAGGTTGTACAGTTTGCCAGATGCAGGTTGGCTCCCATCAACTGTGGCCAGGATCCAGGATCCCACAGCAGCAGGACTCATGGAGCCGAGAGAAGGGAGCCCAAGGCGAACCAAGGAAGGAGGTGGAGGTCGGTGAGTCAGGAAGGCAAAGTAAGTGTCCTCTCCAAAGTAAGTAATTTAATGGGGATCCCTTAAATTATTCCACGCACGGGGGCCTGGCAAACAAGCCATCCCTTCCCATGTCCCTTTTGCTAATTGCATCCACCTCTATGATAAACCTTGCTAATGTCTATTTAGGACCTATCTTGAGCCAGTGATTGGAATAAAGAAATGAAATTGTTAATGTTTTAATACTCTCTAACCTGTAGAATTCTGCGTTGTTCGATATTAATATTCCCAGATCCAGCTTTCTTTGTGTTCATGTTTGAGTAACCACATTTACCCGTATTTTAACTTGGAACACTTTTTTGTTTGTTTAATAAGTAGAGAAACCCGGGCACCTGGGTGGCTCAGTCAGTTGGGCGTCTGCCTTCCACTCAGCTCATGAGCTCAGGGTCCTGAGATCGAGCCCCACGTCAGGATCCCTGCTCAGCGAGTAGTTTGCTTCTCCCTCTCCCTCTGCCTCTCCCCACCTGCTCGTGCTCTCTCTCTCAAAAATAAATAAATAAAATATTTTTTAAAAATAAGCAGAGAAACCTTGGTTTTAGGGGGTTTTTTCCCCTTGCATCTAGGAGTGTTGGCTTTTAATGCGTTAGGAAAGATTACTGGAGTGCTCTCACTATACTTTTATATAGATACAGATAGATATCTTTTTCTACCTACCTTTTTTTTCTTAAAAAAAAATCACTTTCTTTCTCTTTTGCCTTCCTCATTCTTTTGATCTGCATTGTTATCTGCTATTATCCCATTATTTTAATAGAAATAATTTCTTTCAAATATCTTAATCTTCTGATGTCAGTTTGACAAGATATTTGCTACAATTGCTCAGACTTATTTCAATGCAATCAACTGGTCTCACTGCTTCCTACAAGTTCTTATCTGCCATCCTTGCGTTTCCTCCATATGGAACACATCTTTGAATGACTTATTTTTCAGGGAGAATATATGCATTTGAGTAATTAAGTCCCATGGCCTGCACATATAAATAGCTTGATTGTATATAAAACTCTCAAATCCCATGTTTTTCTTTCAAAGCTTTGCAAATGTTGTATTATATTCCTAGGCAGCTTTTCCTTATAGTATGTTCTGAGGAAAGTAAGCTGCAAAAGATGCTTCAGGGGAAAATATTCCATGATCATGTAAGTATGGGAAATGTTCCATACACGGCAAATTGTGCCAGACAAGGCAGCGTAGTAAAGGCCAGGAGACATCCTGACATAATGAAGATGGTTTACTTTATTTTCAGTGTATCCCAGCTATTTGACCACAGTAATATTGAGGGAAAGCAAATGACCAATAATATGGGAATAGTTAACATTTGTTGAGTGCATACTATGAGCCAGGCACTGTCCTAGGACTTAGTCTATGTATATCAGCTCATTGGATTCTCACAGCAGCTCTATGTGGTTGGTAGAATTTTTCAACCCATTTCAACAGATGAGAAAACTGAGGCAAAATGAGCTTAAACAAATAAGCTAGAACATGGTGAATTCAAACCCAACCAGTCAGTTCTACATTACAGCCTTAAGAGTCATCAGGTAAGGGCACGATAAAGGCAACTTCTCTACCTTGTCCAGACTGAAACACATAAAAAAACATCTCATCGCCCCAAAAAGAAAAGGGAACTTTCCACCAACCAGTCTCTAACAGAATTTGGCTACATTACCGCAGAGGTACTTTGGAGGGTAACCTGATTATCATCAGCGCAAGTGCTCAAACTCTGCCATTGGCCACCGTCCAGGACCCATCGTTGAATACTCATCACCTCATCAATTCAGCCTCCTCGACTGACGGGCAGAACAACATCCAAATATTCATTGCACATCTGTGCCGGGCAGATTATACATTAGCAATTCAAATCTGGCCGGCGCACCGGCCATTCCTGCAAATGCGTCTGTTTGGGTGAGATGCCTTGTTGTCTGGGACGGATAATAAGGCAACTCGGTCTAATCTTGAAGAACAATCAACCCATCTTGCGAAGGTGACTGGCTGTGTGTGTTTCGCCCTGGCAGGGTTGGAACAATGGCCCCCTAATGCACTCGACTCAGCTGGCAATGAAGTCCCATCCTGATTAGTAGCCGTGGCTGGTGTCAATCACCACGGGATGCACCATTGTCCTCTGGTCCCCAACACAGTTTATTTACAGGAAAACAAAGGCTTTGGGGGGCTATGGCTCCTTCCCAGAGATTGCAAAATAGATTGAGCTGTCAAGCACACAAAGTAGATGAAGATTAATGAGTTGTGTGGACAATAAATGTGAAGAGATGACCATGAATATGCTAATGGGCATTATCCAGATACACTGTAATTGCTACCAAAATTAAAAGGTGGCATGAAGAAGATGGGTCACGAGGTGACAGGGAGATAATCTTGGACGCTTGAGACACTCACCCCAGATAAGACCCTCTACAGGTTTCCTTTCCCCGATTAAACCATCCCAGAGCATCATTGTTCGCAAGCGGTCTGAATAGATTCCTTTTAAACGGGGACATAAGGGGTGGGGTAAGGGGTGAAGCTGTAAAAGTTACTTTAGGGAAAGGTGTAATTAGAATAAGGAAGGTGCTGATCAAAGGCGAGAAGCGATCAGCTGTCAGGCTCGCTCCTCATCTCCCAGGGACAGAATGAGGGACACCACTTCAAACTTGGGAGCCCCCCTTCCCCAGGCCAGAGCCACAGGGATTATTACAACTATAAGAATGCTATTTAGATCAACTTTCAGGGAGGAGTGGGTGAAGTTTCAAAGTATTTCAACAGTCTGATGATTTTTTTGAAAATAAACATGATAGAGAAATTTGAAGAACATAACGTTTAAAAGCAAGTGAAATCTTGTTTCCATGAATGATTTGATTTTGGAAAATCCTTATCCTGTAGAACTGTGTCATGACTGATTCCCACCCAAGCCTACAGCATAGTCCACAGTCTTCCATGTGGCCGGATGCTGTTCTCTGTCCCTGTTCACCCCTTTCTTCCTTTCCATCCTCACATCTGTGGATGGCGGTTAAGTTCAAAAAATAACATACTGAAGCAATGCTCTGAGAGGCCATGAACGCTAGGAAGAGAACATTTTTCTTGTTTCATAGTTTCTATCCTCTGGGGGACCTGGGACCTTGAACCTCCTCCCCGGGAGGTCTATGGAACATCACCCCTTGGCTGTTAAGAACTGCCCTTTGCTCCTTCAGGATAGACACCAAGTACGCATTCCCTGGTCTACTCCAGGGAAAGGGCTAGCAGGAGGAAAGCAGGTTTCAAGAAGTGGGCAGAGGGGAGAAAAGAGGAGGCGAGGTCAGGAGAAAGAAGAGGTCCCAGAGACTATCTCCAGCTGATTCCGTATGGGCTGAAATCTGCCTCACGGGAGAAAAAAAGGGATTTTGCACAAATCTATGAAACAACCTCACGGAAGGGGTGGAGAAGGAGGCTCTGAATGAAGCCACTTTGGAAATTCGTGGTGTCTGTAAAACTAAGGCAAAAGGAATGACACGGAAGCCTTTCACTCTAGTTGACAAAGTGGTTTCCCGTGGGGGTGAAGGTCAATTCTGAAGCTCCTCTGTGTGTCACTGGGATCGGACAGTTACGTAAACGGATGGCAGGTGGTGGGAGCAGGTTTCTCATTGTTGGCGTGGGGGTTCATGGGTGAGTCTGATGAGGGCGGCAAGGGATCGAAGTTGGAGATAACAGTATAAACTCCTGTTTCACTTAATATAGACACAGACAGTCACACAGAAAAATATGTATAGGGCCACCTGGGTGGCTCAGTCGGAGGAGAGTCAGACTCCTGATTTCTGCTAGAGTCATGAGCTCAGGGTCGTGGGATCAAGCCCCACCTCGGGCTCCACGCCCAGCATGGAGTCTGCTTGAGATTCTCTCCCTCTGCCCCTCCCCCGGCTCTCTCTCTCTCAAATAAATAAATAAAATCTTTTTAAAAAAATGTTAAGGGGCGCCTGGGTGGCTCAGTCGTTAAGCGTCTGCCTTCGGCTCAGGTCATAATCCCGGGGTCCTAGGATCGAGCCCCGCATCGGGCTCCCTGCTCCGCGGGAAGCCTGCTTCTCCCTCTCCCACTCCCCCTGCTTGTGTTCCCTCTCTCACTGTGTCTCCCTCTGTCAAATAAATAAAATCTTCTAAAAAAAAATTTTTTTTTAAATAAAGAAATACGTAGAGATGTGCATATACACACAGGTTAGTGTACATGCATGCATTTCCTTGTCCTCTCAGTGGAGAGGCCTCAGAGAATGGCCAGAACACTTTGGTAGCAACAAGCACACCTAGCCCCGGAGCCATGAAGTCTAATACCATCCTCCAATAAAAGGAACCAAAGCTCCTTAGAGAAATGGCCGATCCCAGGATGGCACAGAAAATACACAAGCTGAGCCTAGAGCATCTTGTAATGCCAAAAAGGAAGAAAGTGCTAAAAAAAAAAAAAAATTTTTTTTAACTCACATTGATGGGGGGCTATGTCACTGGGACATAGGAGCAACAAAATAAATAAAATAGTACTGAATTATAACCCAAAATATAAAATAAATATCCATGAGTCCATAATGATCTGAATAAATGACAAACACACAAATAAACAGGGGGGGGCAGGAAACAAATTTTTCATGCAGAAGATACCGCCCCTCAAGGAGGTGAATCATAACTCCCTATTTGTTAATTTGGGGGCTATGCATGGTTACTTCCTTCCAAAGGCTACACTATGGAAAGAGGGAACAAGAGTAACTTGATAGTGAAGAAATCTGACAAACACAACTTGGGCCAGCCGACCATGCTCAACAGCAA